CTCACCTTCGCCCCCTCCTCTCCCCCCAAAAGCACACTCACCCCTTCCAACCCCCTCCCCCACACACACACACACTTTCACTCACATGTGTGCACACTCACACCCTTCCGAGTACATCATGTACTCAGACCTTTTTTTTCTTACCTAATAGAGTTTTTTTGTGTTCCTTTTACTTTAAAAAAAAACAACAAACAAACAAACAAAAAACCCAACACACACCTCACCCCACCCAGGCCTCTAACCACCAAACTCCGTATAATAAATCTAACTAACTACCAGAAGCGGTGGCGCTGAGCGTGTCATCAATAACATCGGTGGCGATAAGCTGTTTGTTCATGCTGCCGCTAAAAAAAACCTAATATGACAGCCGAGTTTGGATGTAGCGACCGCCATGTTTGTCTTACCGCCATTGATTCGGCCAAACTGCATGCAGTGTCTGTTTGTACAGCGGTGCCAGTCTTTGACTCGCTTCTTTCATTCCCCCCCCCAACTCGTCCGATAGCGTGCGATTCAGCTTATTCAGAGCGTAACTTTAACTACAACAAGTTGTGCAAGGCGAAGTACCATCACATTGACGATCAGGGGCGACAATTATTGTTAGTTGACTGGCTGGCTGCCTGACTGCTAATTTACCTTCCAGTTTGATTGCACACAGCAACAGCCGTTGTTTCTGATTGGTTTCATCCTTGTGTTTTATTCGACGCTTTATTTTTGGGCTTTTGTGTTTTTTAAATTTGGGGTGGGTATATGGAGGGGAGGGGTGGGGTAAGGTGTTGATGGGGTGAGGTGGGGTGTGATGGTGGATTGGGTAAAGGTGGGGTTGGGGTCGGTATGTGGGAGTGGGTCAGGGTGGTTTTGGGGTGGGAGTCAGGGTGGTTTTGGGGTGGGAGTATGGGTGGGGTCGGGGTAGGGTGAGGTGAAGTAAGGTGAGGTGAGGTGAGGTGAACTGAGGTGAGGTGAGAGCGGTGCGCAAAAGGAAGGGGGGGGGGGGGATTGAGTACCTCGGATATAATATAATGATTTTGTGATTGTCTGTAGCGGCATAGTATTATGTTTCCATCTACCTTCGTGCTACATTCTATCTCCATCCAGGAATATCAGAAAACGAAAATCTTGTTTCATATTGTTTTTGCTTTTGTTCCTTTTTTGTATGTTTAAATCCGCTTGACGCTGATTCAGTTCTGTTTTATTTCTTTTTCATTATAATTAACTTTTTGTTAAATCTTGAGCATTTATTTTACAAATATAGCTTTCTGTTTACTCAACAATACATGTACTTCATTTTCTTTCTTTACTTTAGCTTTTATTCGCCGTAGTAATTCCAAACCGAGTTTATTACAAACATACAATACACATTTTTAGTATTATTTAATTTTTCTATAAGAAAGCAAAATTGATAATATGACACCGACAACAGATTTCATAACAAAGAAATCAACAACGGTTAAAATTTCAATAACTGTTGAAAAGCAACGCATGTATTTCCGCGCACACGTGCATTTGCCAGTGATACATTTTGCCATAGGTGATTGCGGTCCTTCTTTTCGTTTCTTTTTTTCTTTTTTTTTCTTTTTGAACGAAGAACAAAATAAAATAGATTCTATTAAAACAAAAGAAGAAAGGAAAAAATGATAACGGAAACTAACTTCCCCTAAATAATTATTATGTTGCAGTGTTTTTCGCAAATACGAAAAGAGGCACGCGTTTTACTACGGTAATTTAGATTTGTATCATGGTTTTTTTGTTATAAGGGGATGGGGGAGAG